CCCTTGCAGGAACATCCGGAGGCCCGGCTTCCCACTTCCCATGCATACGCCACAGAGCTCAGCCAGCACCTCAGAGATGCACTTGCCTTTGCAAGGGAACACCAGACCAAAGCACAGGAGACTCAGCGGCACCAATACGATGCCGCACGACAGCCTTGCAACTTTGCTGTAGGTGACTTGGTGCTCCGTGATTTACACACCCTAAGCAATGCAAGCCGTGGAATCGCGGCCAAACTTTCCCCCAGACGTTCCGGACCTTTCGTGGTTGCGGCTAGGCTCGGGCGCAATGTTTATAAACTGCAACATCCGACCACAGGCCGAGCATGTGGTCTGGCCAACGCGGACCAACTTGTGCGATACCAGGACTCTTGGAACTCTACTTGCACGGATTAAGGGGGGGAGACTGTTAGGGGAAGCGCACATATGCATGCACGTATCACGGGCCGCACCTCTCGAATGGCATGGGCGACCACTGTAACCGTTTCGGGCCGACCCCGGAAGATGGCGCAGCGGCCGCGGGCGGGAGCGGCAACGCGGAGGGAGGAAGGGGGTCGTCGGGTGGAACGGGAGGCTTAGCGACAGGAGCGATACCGCTGCGCGCGGGTACGTGAAAGAATAAAGTGTTTGAGAGATGTCTTGCGTGTGAACACGACCGAAGCAACCAGTGACGAGGTACGTCACAATACAAAAATATGCCAAAATTTACCCCTCGACGCGCGTCTTTCTGCTGTGTGAATGCGCCTTTAAGGCGCATTCACACAGCAAAGAGATGCGTGTCGTGGAGTGAATTTTTTGCTTATTTTTGTATATACGCCTCTCGGCCACCTCCGCTCACGCGGCTCTAGTCTCGGGCGGCTAGTTCCCAAACGCTACAGACACTAGTTTCTATAAAAAATTAACTAATGAAAAGACTAATGCATGCATGCATGGTGAGAAAGCAAGCTGACAACCTGATTATACAATGTGCTAGCTGAATCGCGGAGAACAGATGGACTGGCAGGTTTAGTGCTGGTGACGACGTATTTAAGATGTGAGATAAGTGGCAGGCCCATCAAGTAAAGTCTGACATTTGTCTTCCATAAAATTTGCAAAATGAAATTAAAGGGTGCAAGTCCAGCAAGTTGGGCTGAAGTCGAAGGCCAGGCACCACTTCACGGATCTGTGTAGACAGATCTTTAGTCTTTTCGACAGACGCACATTTTACTTTCAGCGGTGTCACAGCCGCTGAGAGTAAATCTGAAAATGACAACCCTGCACTTGGGTGATTTCTACGCAGACGGCCTTCTTTGGACATTACACATTGCATACCTCAGGCGCTCATCAGTTGTCCACAACATGTTTTTAACCTGGGGAGCTCTACCCTTTGTGTTTAAATAAATTAACTGATTTGGCTATCCTGAGAAAATTATTAAAGCACTTGAGTGATTACAGACATGGGACCGAGTACAATGTACAGTTTCTTTAAATTCGTAAACCGATCAAGCGAATATTTATACAGCAAATATGAATCCCCATATAAACCAAAGCAACTGTTTTCAATTTGTTATGAAGGCAGAGCACAGTGCTTTCCAGAAACACACATAGTGATCCCTTGCATTGACTATATTCCTATATTTGTTGCCCTGTTTAATATCCTAAATGTGCGATCATAAATATACCTTGCACTTCGTACAGTGAATGTTCCGCCACTATCACTAAAGAAATTCGCGCTGCTAGCATTTGGAGTGATCCAAAAGAACTCCATATGCTTGTGCCTTAAAGGGCAACTCCGGCCAAAACTCAAAATGAAATAAATTACTGGTATCGATGCAGTGACACAAAATACGAGCTCAGCCAAAATATCACGTCCGTCGGGCGCCACATTCTCAACTAATGCCGATAATAAAAATGCGACCCGCCGCGAGCCGCTGCTCTTTAGCGGGCGGCCAGCGGGTTGCCGATTGGTAAAGCAACATTGGGCCGTGACGTCCGTATCGTTCTCTTTTTTTCCTCCGGTCCGGGCGTTGCGCGGAGTGCGCTTCTTTGAGCCGCTACCACCGCTACTTCGTCTTGTGATTGGCGTGTTTAGTCGTTTCTTTTATCTATAGCCCGTGTAGCTTCTTTTATCTATAGCCCGTGTAGCCTTTTGTTTATTTGCTTGTGAGGACCCCAAGACTCGTTTTAGCGAGCAACTCGGTGCGCCCAAGACTGCCCAGCTGTTCCTCGAAAGATGCCGAGTGCAACTTGTAGCGCTGTGGGCTGCTCAAACAACCCACTGCGCAACACGGAGGTGCTTTTTCACAAGTTTCCAACGGACCGGAAATTGGAGAAGGTGTGGGTGAAGGCTGTTCGACGAGTGGATTTTAGACTTCGGCTTTTACACGCGCGAGGAAAAAAGAACGAAAAAACAGACGTGTACAGTCCAGCACACGTGTGTTCGGGCGCCGCAGCCCGCGCCGGAGAGCCTCAAAGCTTCGTGTCTGGGACTGACCAGCAGCGCGAAAGCGAGAGGGCCCCCCGTACTGTACGTCACTCACAGCGCGGCGTAGAGCAACGCCGCTCCATCCACGGAGCCCCGATGACAATTTAGGCCTAGCGACGAGTACGGGAGACCGCACACACGGCGACAGCCGCCGAATACGGCAGCAAACGAATTCACTCGTTTTCCAGTCGCTAGCTTTTGGGTATACAAGTGACGAGTACGGCATAACGCACGCACGGCGGCGGCCGCCGAGTATGGCACCGCACGAGTTCACGGGTTTTTCAGTCGCTAGCTTTTTGGGTATACGCACTAACTTTTGCTACATGGGCTGGATAACTCCCACGTATACAGAATTAAAACAAAATCAGCTTACCTCCTATCTTTAGACGGCTAGCGCAACAGAGGTAGGTGCCGCACGGCCTGCATACTCGTTGATCGAGAACGATCTTGACGTCACGTGCACATAGCAGCCGATTCCCAGTGTTGCCGGAGCCTCGAGCGGCTAGTTTCGGTTTTGTTGGCCGCGCCCCAAGTAAAACTTTGAAACGTCGATATCTTTAAAACTACGGACAATAAGGGGAAAAAAATTACACCTTGCAATTCAGAGACGCTGACTGCACTAAAAACAGTCATAATCCCAAAATCGAAAGTATGGACCGGAGTTGCCCTTTAAGTCGGCTAGATGGAAACCCAAGCAGGTACCAACAAGAATGCACATACCCAAACACACCCAAGGAGATATCAACAATAATGCACTCTAAAACCACTCCAGACCTACCAATGGAATTCCCCACTAGGGTCATCTACATACTCAATGTGCACCAGTGCTAAGGAGCTGATAACTGCCTCCTCTATCCCCCGCACACATATGCGCCATACGCCGACAATGAAACTAGTCAAACATTCAAACATATGTTATAAAATCAAGTGTAGAAGTTGTGCACATAATAACGCAATGTGATTACAAGGTGGTAAACACATGCATCGGACGATACCCTCTCTCCAATCTCGAATTTGAAAAAAAAAGAAAAAAAGAAAAAGACAATCATGAATGATGAACTCTTTACTGACTATGGGAAAAGTAGCAATTTTCAAAAGATCCATGCTAACGCTTTTATTTTCCTAACCAACTTGTGTATGAAGCAATATGACACATGAAAAAGTGGCCAATTAGTTGTCATTTAAAAAAATAGAGGTTAATATAAAGCAAAAAGAAAGATTTTAAAATTTTATTTTTTGAAATAGCAATGTATGTGTGAAAGGTGTATAAGGCTGAAACTTCTACAGCTATGTCAGATTAAACGACAAATAAGAAAAATTCAGAATGTAGAAAATGTGCGTCACACCCACACCCTATGGTTATTACTTCTGAAAGATAGTGTACTCTAACTGACGTTGCCTATTTTCAGTTAGTCAGAGAGTTAGCCTCCGTAATACATGCTTTTCAACAAAGGAATGCTTATATTGGTGAAGCACAGAGAGTACACCTCACATCCCCAGCAGAATGCTTTCTTTGTGTTCTACCTTGGTTTTGTCTCATAGCCTCGATTGCAGTTCCCTCATATATAGAATTTTTGTGCGCCTTGTCGGGAACGTAAAACGTGCACGCCGACTCAGGACAGCCCTGAAAATTATAGTGATGCTTACCGACAACCATCTATTAAGCGAAGCCTATAACATAACTTAAAGTATCCCCAGAGCCCTTGTGGTCTAAACAAATATGCCACGATGCAGTTGAATTATGTAAATGATGCCGTCTTTGCTATCAAGACTGATGCAAGCAGTTAGCCATGTTAGACAAGTGCAACCACCGTTCCCACGACTATTTTTGATAGCCCACCACCTTGTGATAAAGCTTAAACCCGCCTTGCCTTGAAACCGAAACTAGTGTTCTTCGGCTGTCCACGAGTTGTGGAACATAATTCTCCGCACTAAACTTAATTTCTTGACGGCGCTTGGAAACCATCGATCACCGGTGATCGATGGCCTATGGGTGCGGTCAGGAAAGAGTTAATGCATGTTGTTAGGGCATCTCTGCCTAACATAAACTCTCACATAACAGTCGCAGTTCAAGTTTGGAAAGTTTTACTGCAATGTAGGTGTCGACATTCACAAAGCTCTCGTTTCTGTTGAAATACACCAGGCACGCGCGTGCACCGCCCTACCTTGAAAAATTGCTTTTCTCCTAAGCGTGCACCTGCGATATTTGTACTTCTCAAAGTGTTGACTGCGGCAAGTCAGCCGCATTAAGCACGCTTCTTGCAGAGCACAGCTGTGCAGCGGAGAAGCGACACCCAGGGAAGCAACCTCCACAAGTGTTGCTTTTCTGCAATGCACCGGTGCTCGGAAAGAAGCTTGCATAACAGGGCCCATCCGCTAAGATCAAAACTTGGAAAAATATAAATATGGTAGTTGATCTCAAAGTGAAAAGCAAATATTGTGTAATTAGAAACTACTATTCAAATATAAGCACAATCCTAAATTATATTAAAACCACTGGCATCACAACAGATCGGCTTTGCCCAAAGGCCGCTCTCACCTCGAGGTCAGCCCCGGCTAGGATGGCCTGTCGCAGGTGGCAGTTCTGCAGGTTGGCGTTCTTCAGGGTTGCCACCCTCAGGTTAACTCCAGCCATCTGACTACCTTCCAGGTTGGCATTCTTCAGGTTCACCCCTGCATGGCATCGCGTCGATCAGAGAGCATTCATACTACAGTGTAGACCGCACATAACGTGTCGCGGGAGTCGCGAAAATCCTCACTATAAGCGGTACCGCGCTACAACCAAAACATCAATTTTTCAGGCCGAATTGCACGCCATCAGACAAGTTACCTTTGTAAAAGAATTTATTTTATGTTAGATGAAAAATAAAGCTTAGTTTGAGGAAAGTCTTTATTTCACCAGACTAGTGCACTTCTCTCTCAAGTGTATCACACATTTTGAAAATGAGCGACTTTTGTCTGGCGCAGCCTTTTAACGGCATCGCGGGTTGCGGACAAACGTTGCGAGCGTTCAGGATTGCTAACCCTAATCACTTTTCTCCGGCGATAAAAACGTGTGAAAATTTGCATCCTTTATCCGGTATGCGCCAGTAATACCTTCAACTTGAGCACAGGCATGAAACGCTCCAAATAAAAAATCCGGGCGATGTTCGAAAACACAAGTTCTTAGGAAGCAACACTGTAGTCGAAGTAAACAAACACGACGACACGGGCATTTCTGCTGTCTTGAGAGTGCCGCCACAACATCGCCGCACGAGTAGGTGGATCTTCCCTTCTAGTACGCGCTGGATTATCATAGCGACACACAACGAAAATTCACAGTCAAGGATAGCACTTTTACGCAGAACGATGATCTTCTACCACGCCGTCTACGTCGACGATCAAAACCGACGCCATGTTTGCGGATAGAAGCAGCCGGCCGGCGGGCCCGCAACCGGCATGCAACGCGCACGAACACTTCTTCTCGATTTGCGATTGGTGTGTCGTTGCCGTTGTTTCCAACGTTTCCAATGCAGCGGAGGGACGCACGCACGTGAACGACACGTGCGTGCGTCCCTCCATCGCTATGGCAACTGAAGCCTCTCTCTTCGCTTCTCCCCGCTTCTTCGAGCAACCCCTTTGCCCCGCGAGTGCCGCTTGCGACTCGCGCCATTATCTAGTGTCGCACAGGGAAGCGTGCTCTCTGCGTCGGTCAGTCGGCGCGGTCGCCAGGCTGTCCCGAAAACCGCACTATAACCGGTATTTCCCTTCGCGCGCCTGCATTTTAAGCGGTATGTAATTACATGGAGTTCTATGGGAGGCGAACCGGTGGTTTAAAAAAGCCGCGTTATACCCGGTCCTGCACTATAAGCGGTAACGTTGTAAGTGGTCTATACTGTATTACCAGCTCTCCAGGTGGTTAGCTAAAGGACCGGTTAGCGAGATATTTGTTAACTGATCATCTCTTACCTGTTTAATAGCATGTGCAGCATAAGGACCTCACTAAATCCCCAACATCGTGATTTCTATAAAACTTCATCTTCCTAAGAATTGTGACATCAACAGGTTCGGAAGGCCTGTTGTAAGTGGTCTATACTGTACCTCCTTCCGCCTCTACCATCACTAAAAAAAAAATTAGCAGTATTTTTTGTGATCAGGAAATAAACTATGCGTCGCCAAATGGTCAGTCTCCGGCAAAATGTAGAGACGGCAGTCAGGACCAGATGCCAAAGTTTCAGAGCTTGCCGGTAACCATTTTAAAAAGTTATAAGGGATTTTCGAAAATTTTTTAGGAGAAAAAGGCGATTGACTAACCCCACGAACGCTCGAAGACGAACAATGTTAGCGACAGGAAACAGGCCTCCATTTTCTACCAGAAAATTTCAGAACGTCGCTTATAACTATAGTCGGTGACAGGACAAGAATGAAGTGGAAGCTCCTCCCACCCCTTTTCATTTCAGCAGAGCAAACGGTGGAGAGGAGGTCATCTCCTCTCCAGCGTTCACACTACAGTGGACTCCCATTAAACGAAACTCGCTTAAACGGAAAATTCGGATAAACGGAACTCTAAAGGTTGTTTCGGTTGGTTTCCTATCTATTTAATGATAAATTCTTCGGGTAATCGGAACCCCCCTTTTTGCTTACTTCGGTTAAACGGGACCGAAACCGAAACTACCCATGGCGACCGCGGACATCGGAAATTGCTACAGCAGTCTCACAACCATGGAGTACGCAATAGCCAAGACTGAGGACACTTTAAAGGGAAAGAGGTTGTGTTAGAACAAAATTTATACAAATATTATTATAAAAAAAAAAGTGACGAAATGTTAGGCTAGGTGACGCGAGGTGCCGCTCGTTACAAAGGGTACAGCGGGTACAGCATTCATCCATCCATCCAAGCCATTGTATTAAGGCAACCCAATCCAGTCTTTCTACCGCCATTAGGGTTAGCGCCTCGTCTGTTGCGCGTCACGTTTACCATCGAGTACGCAAACCAGCGTCCGCTTGCCGTGTTGTGATGGAAGCGGTAAAAAAGCGGCCGCACCAAGCGATCTCGCTTGCTACGAAAATGAAGATCCTTCAAGAGCTGGATCGTGGTGACCTCTCGAAGACGGAGATCGCAAGGAAGTTCGATATCCTGAAGTTCAAGGTGAGGAGGCCTCAAGCTCCAGTGAAGATGACGTGGAATGCAGTGACCCCGGTCCTGCTGCAGTGCCAGACTGCACAGCGAGGGAGGCTGTTGCTCTCTTGCAGCGCTACTTTGAATCTGAAGGCTGTGCGGAATTTCTGCGCAACCTCCAAGGTATGCACACCTACTTCGTCAAAAAGCGATTACAAAATGCAAAACAAACTACCATTACCTCTTTTTTCTAGTCAGCTACATTAGCTGGACATCATGCTTGTGAAATAAAGTCATATTTCACTCATTTTATGTGCTTTGCTTTAATGAAACTTCTGATAAACGGAACAAACTTTTCTGTCCCTTCGAGTTCCGTTTAAGAGGAGTCCACTGTAGTAAAATGGAAAGAGGTGGGGGGAGCTTCCACTTCGTTCTTGACCTGTCAGCGACTATAGGTAGTATACTGGTTTTCACTTAAAAAAAAAAAGGAAGTTTTGCACACTATTTATATGCCGTGCAAGGCAGTTTTTAAAAGATTTGGTTGTAGGAGAAGGAAGCGACGCTTTTGGCATTTGAAGCGTGTGAAGATAGCTTATGTCCGATCTCAAATGCGAGGGTAGGAGGAGAGGAGGAGGGGAGGGGAAGCATTAGCCCCCCCCGACCGCATTCTCTCCTCCCCTATCTCCGAAACCCCCCCCCCCCCCAACCCAACCCTCCCCTCCTCCTCCTGCCCTGCCTTACCCATGGAGCCATTCGGAGGAGGAGGAGAGGAGGATACAGAAGTGACCTGCCCTCTTGCCTGCCTGCCTGCCTGCCTGCCTGCCCCGCTCCCTGCAAGGCTCTTATCAACCCCCTCCCCCTTCCACTCCTCCTCCTCCTCCCCAAAAACGGAGGAGGAGGAAAGGATGAGCGTAGGCGGGCCTGCCTGCCCGCTTGGTTGCCTGCCCGCTTGATTGTGCCCGCCCGCCTGTTCTCACTCCTCCCAGTCCCCTCCCTTGAGGAGGGGGAGGGGAGAATACAAAGGGGCTCCTCCCTTTCCCCTCCGCCTGCCTTTCTCCCCCCCTCATTATGTGAGGGGCCTGAGCCGGCAAAGGGACAGACGGACGAACGAATGGACAGATTCCTCCTCCTCCTCCAGCTCCCTTTGCATCGCTGGAACAAGGAATAAAACTGCTCTATTCGATTCAAAGCAGCATTTGCACACTCGACCGCTGGCGCTACGTTTCGATGGAGACTGAGCAGTCAAGGATACATATGGGCCGTGTTCCAAAATTTACTCTAGCTTACACCAAGGCAAGGGTTTTGTACCCTGGCATTCAGAAACCTACGAGCGTCCAGTGTCTTTCAATATGCGTTGTGACGTGACACGACACGCCGGAGTAACTCAGATTCATTTGGGTCAGATTTGGGACACAGCCACAGTAAACAACTCTACTTTTGCGGGCTCGATATCTAGCGAATTCCAGAAGGTGTGGGTTTGGGGAACATTTCGAGGGGTACGGCAATTCCCGATTTCTATACTTTGTTTCGTACACAGCGTGCAACACAGTAAAGCTAGCACACCAGTTTGCGATGCCCATGTTTGCCCCATAAAACAGTGTCCCCTGCAAAAAGCAAAAACGGGAAAAACGTGCATCTTTGGAGCTAGTAACTCATAATTGCATTAAGATCTTGAAGAAACAGAGGTTCTTTTTCAATAAAACATAAAAATAAAGCATATTACTTCAATCTGTTTTCAGTTTTAGTCGATGTCAGGTTTTGTCAGGTCGCTGGGTTTTCCGGCTACCTCGCTTGTTTTGAGAAAATGGAGTTTTCCGCAGCAACCTCAAGCACCTCTCCTGCTCGAATTTTTCGAAGATTCATTGTGCGAAGATTTGGAAGGATTGCAAGCAACTGATCGCCAACATGTACGCGAGTACAAGAACGCGTTTCCTGAAGAAGTCGGTCCGTCAAGTTCTGCTCAACATCGTCAAGCGGAAATCGAGGGGCCACTTTCTGGGACCGCCGTCCAGGCATCGCACCCGTACCTTCCAGATTGGCGCTGTTCCCGGCAGGGTCTTCCATGTTGCAGGAGCGTAGGATTGCGCCTTCTATGTTCGCACACAGCATCTTGGCACCAACCAGCTGGGCACCCTGTGTCGAGGACGGAGTCGTGACCGGAGGTGGAAATGTAAACCGAGACTCCAAAAACGATAAAAGAAAAGATATCACTTTGCAGCAACAAAAGTTTCAGCCTTTCCACCCTGGTGAAGAAGGAAGACCAGCGGAGCTGTACAATTGAAAATGATGGCCGGCCGCAAGTCGGCAAGCCAGACTGGAAAGGCTGCTGTCATCTATGAGCAACGGCGGCAACCAGATACGTGGCTTGCCGCCGTCGCTCCCAGATGGCGGTAGGAGTCCAGAGTTCGGTGTCTTCATTTCTTCGCGGGGGACGCGATCCTGGGGAAACTAGCCCTTAACAGCTCCGCTGCAAACAAAATGCTCCCCCCGTCGCTCCCCCTTGTCTCACTTCTAATGCAGAAACACATTCCGACGGAAGTGAACTCTGATATTTTGTACATGTGTTTACCAGAGAGTGTTTCTTGGAGTTCATCGTATTTACCCGCAAGCACGGAACTTTAGTTATAGACAACAGAAGGGTTGAATTGAACACACCAATGTTCTAATTGAAAGCCAGATGTTTTAAACATCTACACCTGACTGCAAAACAATGCAACCTCTAACTTTTTGTAGTTTTTTTTTTTTTTTTTTCATAGAACAAGAGCCAAATTGAGAATAATCAAGTCTTTGAACTGATAGGCAAAAGTATTTAATATTCATGCATGCACACAAAAATGTAGCTTACAAAGCTTTTTAGTACTATCAAAGTCCTTCTATATGCTACCAGTCACATTTAAAACTTTTGCCCAAGTTTGCTACAGGCAAAAAAGCCATCAGGAGTGCCACTAAGCTTCAGGGAGCGTCTTTGCTTGGCCACTCCACTCCAAAGGCTCTGTTATACTCCGACGTTGAGCGCAACGAACGCAGTGTGGAACAGAAGGCACGACTTTCATTGGCCGGCGAGCCAAGACTCGATATCTGCAACCAATCAGCATTTGTACACGCTGCACTACACCATGTTTGCTACACTCAATATCGGAGTATAACAGAGCCCTTGAGAGAGTTACTCCAAACTCACGATTAACACTAGTCTTTAAAAAGTATGTTCTCATACACCAACATTTTCTTACGCCTGCAACTGATCACCGTATGCAAGCACCAGACATTCTTTATTGACCTCCAACAAGTGAACTGTTGTTATGCTAAACCTAGGAAAAAAACAATTTTTTTTCCTAGCTGGTTAGGACAGGCGTGTTTCAAAATAAATGCTTATTGGAAATAACATTTTTTTTCCCCAATATTTATGTCTACAGTACAAAATTTTCCATTTGAGAGTGAAACCGAAACCTTACCCCTGTGGTATGATGATGATAGCATTTTTATCCAAAGCACAAACAAGTTGGGTGCAAACGTTGTCATCATCATCCCACAGGGGTACAATTTTGGTTTTTCTTGCAAATCTAAAAATCCATATTGTAACATAAATATTGGGTAAAAAAAAAGTGTTTTTTTCAAAAATCACATATTTTGAGACTTACTAAACCTAAGAAAAAAACTTTTTTTTTCTTAGGTTTAGTATTTTTTTTTAAATAAGAGTTTTTTGTTTGTTTTCAAACAAAATTATGCTTTTGCAAGTGAAACAGCCACAAAATTAGGGCGGGGGTCCGCAGTGCCTCCACTTCATGGTGCTACTTGCGACGCCAAATATTGATGGCAATGGTTGTATTAAACATTCGCTTTGAGACAAAAAGAAGGAATAAAGCGCAATACTATCCTAGGGAATGTTGCAGATAAAAGAATATTGACTGGCCGACTGAGTGTACAGAGCTGAAAATGCTTAGATTAGCAAGAAACACTGCCAGCAGTGTTGAACCTAAATTTTTGTTGGTTCAGTTCCAGTTCATTTCCGGGGGAAAAAAAAATGGTTTACACCGGTTTGAACCGCTAAATTGAGAATATATTTTCCGCATTGTTTTCGCAATAGGCACTATTTCAGGTGTGAAACGAGTAACTCTGTAGCTTTTTATCGTTCGTTCAATCCATGTTTGTTTTTAGGTACCAAAAATAAGAAATTCCGTTATTTCAACAAAACATGTCTTTATCGCGGCCGGTCACCCCGTTGAGTGCGCTTCTTACTAAGCACCGATGTAATGCAGAAAAGCAACACCTGCGGAGCTCGCTTCCGCTGGTATTGCTTTTTCCGCCCCGCACCGGTGCTCGGAAAGAAGCACACTCAACAGGGCTAACCCACCGCAATCAATACCTTGAAAAACGCGAGGAGTGCAGGTCTTCTCGAAGCGAATATCGAATTATTATTCGAAACTACTATTTGAAATTTCGAATATTTGAGCAACCCTACCATTAATATATAGACACCTGCAGACAATGTAGCGGGAAAAAGTCTGAAAAACTGACTTCCAAGTTGGCGAGAGAGAGATCGGCTCGCTCGAGGCAGCAGTAGCTGAGGTTGGCACCCGACAGCCTCGCTCCCTGGAGATTGGCCCACTTGAAGTTGATGTGGCGCAGGTCCAATCGTGAAAGGTCAGCCCCTGACAGATTGACTCCCTGCATGCCCAGAGCACCTCGTGATGACAGTGGTCACAAAACCAAGACAACAGTCCGACGAGAAAGAAGCAGCTGAAGTGCTAACTGAGAAGATTGACACACAGTCAGAGCTGCGTGAATATTCGAAAGTTCAAATATTTTGCTATTCGATTCGATTCGCTGTGCACTTTTACTGTCTGAAATATTCTAATTTTTCAAATCTGTATAAAAAAAATTATGAATATTGTCTTTAAAATCCCAATTTTTGCGTCATGCTTCAATGCTTCACACCGGTGCTTTGGCACCAAGCTTCTCTGCCTTGTACTGGCGTGCTAGGAGAAATGCCCGATCTGTTGGAGCATCTTGGTTGGCTCCATGGGCTCGGAAATTGCAAGTATGCATAATCTCAAAGGCACAACCCCTAGAAATTTAGCCGTTCATGGCGAAGCCCTGGACATCCACGCTAAACTTATTAATTAAATTGTTTTGTTCCTTTAGTAGCTTCTGTACTATAAAAGAGCACCATCATAAAAAGGTTTGGCTGTATATGATTTTATTACTTTATTCAAATAGTTAATTATAAAGTTTCTAAAAGCAAATGATCAGTGCTTTGCTTCTTCTCACTACCGCCCCCCCCCCCCAAATGACTGGTTTCTCTATTCACTAAATTACTGACAATCCCCCATAACTCAATGTTGCATAGAACTGTGCCTCACAAAATTTTTCTGTTTCCATCTTTATGATGGTCACATATCTCCACATGCTTATGTTTGTACAAAATAAATGTCTTCATGTCGAGTTTGCAGCAATAAATGAGGAATGTTTCGTGTACACTGCCTTCCCAAACTGGCTTCGTAGATTAGTATAAGAGCTCAATTATAAACCCTGTAGTATTTTCTAATAAATTATTATTAACCTTTTAAGTGCCGGTTTTCTTTTTTCCGCATGCTGAGCACAAAAACTTTGGTCTCCGTGACGCTGCTGCATGCACTGCAAAGAATATTTACTTCTAAAAGACACACTATTTTATGGGTCAAAGTGAATTGATGTCTGCGTGCCTCCAATCTATGACCTATTTCTCAAATTGTACTTTCGAAAACACTGTGCTATGCAGTGGCACCTCAACCTCGCACCTATAGGTTACTTTTCTGAGCAGCCTTGCCCAACATTCGTTTTTTTCTTTTGGAAGTGTACCTTTCTTTTTCAAAGTCGTGAAATACCGTGGTCATAGGTAATTTCTACATCTCAGTGTTCGCCATGAAGAGCGAGGTTGAACATATTGTATTTACTTGCATAATGAATGCACTCGCATAATGAACGCAACCCCCCCCCCAACGTGCATCAATATTTGAATTTTTTTTTTTTTTTCACGTAATGAACACACTTTTAATTTTCAGCTCCGCGAGTCTTGAACTGCGTCCAAAAGTCAATTTTCTTTTGCTGCCAAGCGGCCAGGTCAAGTCAAGCCAAGCCAAGCCGCTCTCGTAATGGTTGCAGAAGTGATCAACCGTGAAACCGAGCAGCGCGCACGCCTAGCAAAGCTGGGCTTGAGGAATTGCCCAGCCCCGGACATGCTTCATCCATCGGATGCATTGATGTCACCAAACACGCCGTCGTCTGTGATCTGGTTTTGGAGTGATATCGTGAGAGCGGTTAGGCCTAAGAATGGTCACGTCGCTCTCCGTGCTGAGTAAGCTTTGTAGGGCGCTTTTTCTTTGGCAAAAGGCACACCTAAAGTGCCCTAAAAAAGGTTCCCAATTTATAGAGCATGATTATTTTGTGGCACGCCCACGACCAGCTGTGGGTGCGCCTCTGTCAGTGGAGATGTACCACAGTGCCCTGCCATGTCATATTGGCACCTTAAATTACATTTGCGCAAAGCGCGTAAATGCAAAAATTTTACCCTGCGTAATGAACGCACCCCCCAAGATATGTGCAAATTTTTCATAAAAAAGTGTGTTCATTATGTGAGTAAATACGTTAGGGTCACCACACTGTCACAATAAAGAAGCGCGCCAATGCAAGTTGCCTAAAACAAAGTTAGATGTCATCAGAAAGTGACAGAATGAGATAAAAGAGTTTTTTATCGCTTGCTCATAGATGCCGCTACATGCAAAAAAGAAAAAGCCAGCCCAGTTGGGAGAAACCACGTGGGAATGCGGCCGAGCGGGCATGGCACTTGATAGGTTGAGGCACATTTGTACAAACTGCAGACTTGACTACCATCCAGTGACGCGCAATGTGGTATAGGGGAAAGAGCTCGAGGACTGCCCTTCTTCCGCATACCTGAAAACGCAGCTCCGACAGATGGGAGGTGGTGGTCAGAGCGTCGACGACGTCGCGTCGTGTCAGTGGGGAGTAATCCCTCGGCCCTCGTTCGCCCTGCAACGAGAATAGTGTTTGGCATAAAGCACTCACAGTGTAAGTACGAGGGCAGTTTTTTCACTCAAGAATCGGGCAGAAGGAACGAGAGTGATAAAATATATTTTAATATGCACAGAATATATATAATTAGTACGTATACACAAAAATACAAAAAAATTTTGCACTGTTCTTTTCACTGCAAAAGTAAACTTTGCATCGCAAAACGCTCATTCTCCACCAAAGTTTCAACACCAACCGTTATCTTATTCAAAAGTTATAAATGATTTTCTAGAAGCTTCAATGGGAAAACGGGGGCCCATTTTTGCCCATTTTCGGGACAAACTCAAACAATACCATTTAGGTATTGTTTAATTTACGATTTCTAGTATGTTTGCACAGCTGTGCAAGTTTTTATTTTATTATTTTTTGTGAGTTTCATTTTGCAATACTTATCACCCTCCCCCACCCTTATGTAATGTCCTTCCCAGAAGGACCTTAGAGCTCCAAATATTTGAGAAATCTGTCAAATGCTATTTTCCCATCGAAAATTTTCGAAAATCACCTATAACTTTTGAGTAAGGTAACGGTTAGTGTTGAAACTCTCGTATCTAGTTCGCACCTCTAGCACTACATTTTGGCAAAGAATGAGTGTTCGGTGGTGCGTAGTCCATTTTTTAAGTGAAAAAACCATATAAACTTTTTTGAGAGACACCAATGTACCCCAGCTACTTCTCCAACCAATTACCGCACAAATGAAGGCAGTTATTACAAAATAGCGGGCTTTCGGAGGACCTTCACAAAGAAGGCCGCCAAGGTTCTCGGTCATTCCACCGTGCGTCAGCAAGACCATCACTCGACGGGTCGAAACGTGCTATGTATCGAGTTTGTAAATATAAAGTCGTTTAGCGTGCCCTCCTAAAACCCACGAAACGAATGCTCACCTGGATGATCTGCTCGAGGACCGGCACCAGAGACTCAATGCCGAAGAACTTGGCCTCTTCGAGGACCCCTGGGAATAAGAACGAAGTTCAATAACGTACAGCCAACAAGGAACGTCCGGGCGGAGTGTCTGAGCCAGGCAACTCTTTCAACCGTCCCGTCCAGCAGAACGGACCGCCGTAAAAGCACGGTCGACGCCGGTTGAAGCACTACAACGCCTGGAACACATCTACGACTGGTGCGTTTGGCATCCGATCCCACCCACGCGTCGAAAGTGGTGAGCGCACCGGTCAGAGACATACACCTGATGCCTGTCGTGACCCCGCTCCGACTCACCCTGTGGGGAGAGACCTCCGTCAAGCACCAGCTGCCCGTGGCGCAGGTAGTTGAGGAGAGGCTCGAAGTGGCGCGGGCTCCGGTCCACCAGGTAGGCCCCGCGCGAGTCCCGGGCACTGCCCCACGCCGGGGACGTGCCGTTGCCAAACAGGCGGCCCAGCATCGACCGGGGCTCCTTCGACACCAGTGTGCTCCTGTCGCGGGGAAACGGGAGGGCTTTCTTTCTTTTCCATATTTGTGGAGCGGCTACACACTGCCGTAATGTTCTGAAGGAGATACAGATAATGGCGCGCACACCCTACTAAAAGAAAACTAGGATTGTGCGATCATTTAAAGGGGTACTCCGGTGATTTCTTCATGGTCCCCGATTTGCTTGAAATTTTGCTAAACTCGCCAAACAACATCGCCCAAATAGTATCCCAAATATTAGGTCAAAATAATTTTTTTTCACAAAGTTATTGAATTTACAATTTCGGTCCTCGCCGTGTTTTTCAAACAGAAAGTCTCTACTGGCAACAATGAAAAAGTGACGTCAGTGGAAGTGCAGGGGACTCTTAGGACTGTAGAATTTGTTCCGAACTGATTCGAAGCAGTTTCATGGTGTCAAATGAATGCTTTGGAAGCTTGCTCTAGTCCCCGCGCTCCAGCACGGAACAAATGATTGGCATATTCTATTTTATAGACTGCTCGCTCGACTGGCAAGCTTGCCTTTCACTGACGTCACGGCACTGAAAAGTGCAGGTATATTTGAATGTTGGTTTTTGCATCATTTTCATTTGCCGATTTCGCAATAACTATTATGAATTTCACGATACTAAATAGCATACCGGAAAGGGTGGGGAGTCAGAAAATATAGTGAGTTGAGGTAGCTCAAAAAATCGCCGGAGTACCCCTTTAAAGGGATACTGAAGCGAAACTTGAAATACACCTATTATGGTCAGAAATAGGTTCAATATGATCAATGATGTTCATAAATCATAATCGCGCGTTTGTATTTTGAACGGATGGCTATATTTTTCACCCTGATGGGCCCGATTGGGCGCGCGCTCAAAAATCGGCCATCGGAGAGCGCGATGCGTCTTGGGATATTGGGCGCATTCGTGACGTCACTTGTGCCGGTCGGGAAAGGCTACGGCGTGAATGTTGTGGTTACGAGCGTTGCCACTTGGTGGCGCGTCGACGATTTACGACCTGTGACAACGTGGCCGTTTGAGACGTGCAAGGGCTGACGCACGCTGCACCACGGGACCACGGCAAGTCGGCAACCACGGCAGCACTGACAAAACCAGCTCTGAGGCCGGATTCTCAAAGCGAATTCACGACGAAAAAAGTGCGTACGACAAATTTGAGAGAAAACCCGTGCTCTCGAAACGAAATTGCCGTAACCTTTGCGCAGGTTACGACAGAATCCTACGACAGCTCCGAAGCTGTTTTACGCACTTTTTACGATCAAATCAACAAGGCCGACAGCGTCGCTCAGTTACTTGGTATCGGCCACCAACGGACATTTATTTTTCTTCGTGCTCTTCTCGTGCGTCCCGACTTCAACCAGCAAGAAAAAAGGAAGGAGTACTTAAAACAGACCACGACGATCAAGAACGCAGGGGGGCTATGTTGCGCTTTTTGCACTCCCAGGAGACTAGGGAGAGGGAAGTGACGTCAACGACACAGCAAACGCAGATTGGATGTTGATTTCGTTCTCTTCTGTCAACATCCAATCTGCGTTTGCTGTGTGGTTGACGTCACTTCCCTCTTCCAAGTCTCCTGGGAGTGTAAAAAGCGCAACATAGCACCCCAGGATCCACAAACACACGAGAAGAGCTACAACAGCCACGATTCTGCCGACCGAGCGAGCTCGGCAGAATATAGTAGGCCTAGCAGCAACATCGACTCGGCGCACCGTTGCTCCGGCGGTCCTTGGCCAAGACCGTCTGTCCATGACCGGCTGGCCTGCTGAATGGAATATGCCCGCGCGACCCTTGTGGACCCTTACCGGATGAGTAGTTTGATCCCTGAACTAAATTTCAGAGGTCAATATTTTCCCCTTGTCATCTCGATCTCCTTGTTTTCCGAGACAGCGGTGACGAACGCTGTCGTCGAAAAGGGACTCTCATTGATTCTATCTCCTTGTTTTGTGTGATATAGAGCTCAAATAAACGCCATACGGATTACCTTGGCAACTCTGTATGTACACTCTGTTATTAGTATGCCATTTTTATTCTGACTCGACGCTACGTCAGTGTCGAGCTATAGCAGTTCGTGGGAGCTACGCGATGTCGGTCTAACCTTTCTTTGCCGAGTGTCATGTCAGTATCGAGTTGCAATTGTAAAAAATCGGTCCAGAAGCGCTTACCGAAACGCGGTCTAACAGAGAGAATCCAGTACTTCGATCAAACGCGCGTGTCCGCTCCGAGTGTGAACAGGTATTTGGCATTTGTGTGGCTCTTGCTGACACCCTCGTAGTTCAAACATATCCTTTTTAACGTCGGCTTGCAGCTCGCGACTCGCAGCAACCAATACCGGCCGTGCCAGAAGCATGCTCGGGCCGTGTCGTGCAAAGAGCCGCAACGAGAACGAGCTCACTGTGGCCAACTACGCTTTGGCTTTCTCCGCCAAGGCTTTGCGAACGCGTTCAGGCCTAAGCGAATTCTGCCGGCACGCCGTATTGCCGCAGAACGGCGCTGCTATTTTGGCACAAGTGATGTCACGAGAACTTCCCCCCATCCACCAGATGAGAATTTGAAATCGTTTAATTATGTTTAAAATTAGTTCTCCTGTGTTTTACAGCTCAATATTTATATTTCCGAGGTGGTGCCTGTCCCTAGCCCATATTTATGCAACAAGATCGGCGCTAAAATTTCGTTTCACCACCCCTTTAAGGTGGGACACTACCCAGAAAAGTCAGCTTCTGTACCGCTTGCTTGACTTCAATCAAATTTACAGCGGAAGTTTATATGAGTGGCAAGACCACCCCTGCCAAACTTCATTGTCCTATGTCAATTCTGAAACTTGTTACGCAAGTTACAATATGGAAGTCAGTGCGTTCACTTAGAAAAGCTATAGTTTAAAAATAAAATAAAAATTATTGATTTTTATGTGTAATATAGTCATAGGAATACCCATTGCACATACCCAGTTAGTTATTTTGCTATATTGCACTGCTTTTCATGAGTATAACTCCATAAGAAGATTAAAAGTATTTTTTTCATGTCTGCACTTTTTTACAAACAGTTTTTTTTAACATAAAAGAATGCTAAAGTAGAGAAACTAACCAGCCAGGCATGTACCTCACAGAATTCTATCCCAGAAACGACCTAAGAAGAATTCTCTATTGTGTAAAAGGAAAACGATAGTTTTCCTTAAGTGAAATTTATGCCAAAAAGTGGAACATAGAAAAATGTGCTCAAAGTGCTTCAACCTCAACCTTTCCTTTAGCATCGGTGGGTTGAACATAATTTATAAAAAATTAGTTATGCAGTGTAAACTAATGAAACATTTTGGGAATGCTCTCTAGATCTTGGTGGATGTAAATATAGCATTTTTCAAAATCAACTTTTTTGCAGCAATTGTTTTTTTTTTTTTTTTTTCGGGGGGGGGGGGGGGGGGGGGGGGGGGGGGTTAGTGTCCTCCCTTAAATTTTAGAATGGTAGTTACGAATAACATTTCTGTGCATGTGGCGGAGTTGGAAACGCACGCTGCTATCATGTGGAGGAACCAGTTTCGAGCCCCGCTCGTTCATTCGTTTTATCGATCGATGTTGTTCCGGAAAGTCGTTTTTGTAACTCTCCCTTTTCTGGCAAACTATTTCGCATATCCAAATCAACTGGTGGGCTCCTTAGTTATGCATATTGAAATAAACAGAGATGGAAGCAACATTTTATATTTTGTAGCACGTTCTGTAGAAGGCAAAATATTGGTCTGGAGCAGAAACTGATGCTTTTGAAGCAGACGCCAAGACATCACTTGCAAATGAAAGAGTGATTGCATCGCTAGATGAGTTCATCTTTGATAATGATTGAGGGTTTTTTCTTTGTGCAGCACATTACATATTAACTTTTGTAATAAGAATAGATATGGTCGCCCAAAAGGAACAAAACATAAGCTTTTTTTTTTATAAATAAGGTTCTGGTCAGAGTAAATTCCATCTACAATAAAAATAGATGAAAAATTATTCATAGCACAACACTTCCATTGGGATAAAGCCACTGTCCCTTCCTAATTTTATACTTGGCAGTTTATTTAACCTGTAAACATGCCAGCAACAACCAGCATATTCGCTAGCACGTCTATCAATAAAAATGCCTCCCCCAAGTTTTATGAACCAAGGAAACTCAAGGCCCTAGTATAATAAACTGCAGAAATAACTACCACAAATATAAAAAAAAAACTACACTTTTGCTTCAAAACTGCTTTTTAGTGGCATAATAACAAGAGCACAAGACAACAACACAAACACAAGACGCACAGCCAAGAAACACACAGCGCTGACTTACAGTTCAATTGTATTTTGCGGTTCCTCTGAACGAGGAACAGGAAAATATAGTAAAACTGTTTCGTATCCTCGTCTTCGCGAGAGGAGCAACAATATATTGCCATGAATGAAGGGGACGAGACGGCAACTCGAACATTCGACGGAGAATGTTCAGAATGTTCGGGAGTGAGCTAGGGCGTGACTGATTGGGCAAGATCATTCTGGCCCCTTATCTTTTACGCTCGGCGGAAAGAGGAAACACGAATCTCCTAAATTTACATAGAAGCGTTCCTTCTCGAACACACACGCGGCCATATTTTCCATATCTCGCTGGCATCTCATCCCTCCATTTGCCAAAAATTCTAGCTCTTTGTTTGATAACATCGAGTGGTGCACTGATAGATGTATTTTTAAGCCGTGCAATTCTTTCTGCCTCAATGATCTCTCTAGTGAGCTTCTGGCTACTTCTACCTATAACGGAACACTGCGTAAAGTCAGCATCACATTCACAATCGCGACAGTGCAGATCTAAATGTCCAGATATCACTTTGTGGATATTACAGTAATGTTCTCTTAACCTGTAATTGTAGTAACGTTCTAAAAATATGAAGCAGTTTTGCTATCCTTCTCGTTCCTTGCACGGAAGAACCGCAAAATACAATCGAGTTGTAAGTCAACGCTGTGTGTTTCTTGGGTGTGTGTCCTGTGTGTGCCTTGCGCTGTTGTTGCTTGACCAAGCTGCCATCTCCAAAAGTTTCATTTTCAGTGGCAACCAGAGTGAAGTTTAATGCTCTTTAGATTGACAGGTGCGTAGGAACAAGCTTGACTATCGTATACTTATTCAAATATAAAAAGCTTTTTTTTCTAAGTGCAGCTTCGTTAGAATTAGAGATCGATCTAAGGCCAAAGAAGCTAGACCTAGCTGGAATAGTACTTGGCACAATTTCTGAGCCAATCAAGCCAGGTGCTCCTCCATGCTCCTAGCACTTTGGAGCAAAGCGGTTGAAGCTCAAAGCACGCCTGCTAATGTGTGGCAGTGAAGACTGACATGTGTGGCACAATTATGTCACTGTAGCCACAGCATGGAGGCATGTGGCAGACATGGTAATCAAGTGATCTCATCAGGAGTAAAAGATCCTGATTCTGTAGTATCACAGTAGCCATCATTCCACTATTTTGCAAAGTTTCCTCCCAATTTTTAGGTCCTGATGTTGCTGACATTGTCTGAAAATTCAGATGACGACGGGGCCGGTGCAATGTACAAGAAATTTCTATACTTTGCATAGGCGTACCAACTGGGGGGGCAAGGGGGGCACTTGCCCCCCCAGTTCTCAAAGTAAGGGGGGCAAGGCATGGGTTTTGTCCCCCCTGAAACAGCCACCACTGGGCAGGACAAACACTGGCCGGCGGTGCCCAAGGGATACCAAGGGCACCGCCACCGGCCTTGGGTGGGGTGGGGGGTCTGGTTTGCCCCCCCACTCAAAAACAAGTTGGTATGCCACTGATACTTTGTTTCATTTTAAGTCAAAGTGCACCCGACGTTATAAACCAATGGGACCCATTAAATAGTGTCAAAAGTGCGACATCATAGCATTCATAACCATTTTCTATGTGTTCTTTCATCGGCTAAATCAATTGTAGAGCAAACGCCCTGTGACTTGCGCTTTTAGTATGCATATGCTCACGGTTGCACGTGTTAAAGCCTTTGAATGTTATCTGACCTAAAATGAAGCTAACTATACAATGAGTAGGGATGCTGTGAAATAAATATTTGTACCATTTTCCTTTCCTTCTATTTGCCCGATTATTACGATCGACCAGCAGTAAACAATAAATACTTGTTCTGCTTTGTTTAAGCACATTTCCGCACGGACTTAACACAATTCTTAGCACGCATGGCGTTTTTTGTGCAAGCTGTAGCAGACTCGCTCATGGTGCAATTGGTGCAGCACTTCCATCAATAAACAATTATAAAAAGCAGAAGACTACATAGGACAAGAGCTGGTCCCGTCCTATTCTTCTACTATTTACTCTGCTTCACCTTACGGTGGACCACAGAAGACGCCATGGGCCATTGAAACTAGTCAAATACCGTGCGTCATGTGACCTTCTAAAGGGGTGCAGCGACATGCAGGGCCTATAGTTACATAATATGTTTGTGGCATTGGATTGGTTGGAGGGCTCGTAGCGCTCGCTGCCGTTTATCTCAAGGTGGAACAAAGGGCTGTCCTTGCCCTTTTGCGCTGTGTTTATTTCAATCATTGACATACTTCTCAGAAATAGGACAAAAATAATAAAGTATATATTAAAATAAAACAAAACAGTAAAGGCCCAAGAGTGAAAAGAGGCCTTGAAAGTGCTGGCTTTTGCAACTTTTCAGTTTTTCTACAGACTTTCATCTTCATGCGGCAATGCCTATGCTATGCCGTTTGTTTTTCTTTCAGCCGTGACTGTACTCGGGTATGGAATTATGGTGCAAGCTGTCTTAAAATTAACAAACATGAACAAACTGATTCACAACATTGTTTACCGTATTGGTGTTCCAAATTAATGTAACTGTACCACGAGCCTGCCACATGTTTTCCTTCCTGTAAGGACCACAGCTGCTTCAAGTTTGTAATACTTATAGGTGCTACAAAGCAAAGTACAAAATGGCAACATAGTAATCTTTCTTTTCTAGTAAACTGACCATACATAACCTAGCTAAGCAGATGCTCTTTTCAAATTTTGGCATCAAATTGCATATGAGCTACATTTTTAGCTCTCTTCTACAGCCCTGCATTAGACTGACCTTGTGGTCGCAAAGTGTTTTCCGCCGACGTTCAACAACACCCAGTCTGGATTTCCGGGGGCCAATGGCGGTGCAGGAGCAGCATCAGCCAGCATCCCTAGCAGCATCCAAACATTAAGAAATGCAGCAACCCCAAAGAAATGCCACAACTTAAAAAGAATGCCGCAACTTCGAAGAAGTGCCACAACCTCGAAGTTATGCAGCCACTCCGAAAAACTTCTCTTGCTGTGGCACTCTTTTTAAGTTGCGGCATTTTGTTCAAAGTTGCTGTATCCACTTTGCAGAAAGCTGCACTCACCCAGGAAGCCTTCACCGCACGACGCATACAGGACGTCTTCATCCCTGAAAATGCACATTGTTCAGGCTTGGATGTGTTGATAAACACACAATTTTTTCTCATTTCCAGTTTTTTTTTTTTTATATAAAACTTTTTTGTATTAACACCAGTTTGCTATGCGGCATAGATTAAAAGGTAATGGTGCATTCCCGATTCCTGGAAAAAGTCCAGAAAGGAACGGTGATGTGGGCCACGTGTCCAACAATGAAAGTTAGGACGGAGGCCCACCCGGCGAAGATGGTGCCGACAGATTGCTTGAAGGCCCGGGCACGTCCAAAGGAGGTGCTCGAGATCTGCCTCCAGACTGGGGCGGGTCTCGAAGCTCTTCGAAGCCAAACCTCTTCTAGGCGGGTGAGACCACCAGGGAGGTCGAAACCACACAGAGAAATAAGAAATCACGTGGTGCGCTGCAGAGCCTCTCTGTGGATGACCAGACTATCTGCGGCCAGCAAGTTAAAAAGAGGAAGCGGGTAGACAACTGTTTGAGGATGACTCAGGCACCAGAATGCTGAATCCAGCAGACTCAGAATGGGCACTCGGCCACAAACCGATAAAAGTCCGTCACCACACTGAAGGGGCGGTCAATAAGACGTAGGGTGTGGATAGCCTACATCCAGTCGGTGTAAAAAGACACGAGGAAGGCAAAGAGTAGCGGCAATAAGAGGCAAAAGAGCAGACGAACTATTTCAGAGGGCCACCAATTTTGCCAGCACCGAGGGGGAAGGGATGTCCAGGAGGTACAAACACGTTTCATTCACAGTCGAGATGAAGGGACAAACGAGGCTTGTATGAAGACATGATTCAATCAGTCCAGCATCCACATAGGCGACCAGGTCAGCGTCCTTAAAGGAGCGATGCAAAAATTTTTGTACTTTGCGCAAATACCGCTTAAAACGGATTTCTAACATCAATGACCTATGAAACACGCGTTCGTTCTTTACCCCAGGCAAGAGAAGTCCCAGAAAAAAATTTAAGAAAAACGAGCAGCGTTCACCCCCTCAACTGACAGCCAGAACAAGCGGCCACGTGATCTGGAGCCGATTATATGCCGCCAGTGTTGATCATAGCCACGCGCTGGGGTTGGCAAAGCGCAGGACACGCGCTGAGTTCCAGACATTGTTATGGCTCGGCTGTTGTCGTCGTTGCAGCGATTGGACACGGGTCACTACCCGAATGCTTCTCGAGCTAGCAATTATCATGAGCCCAAGTCGAGTGCCCACGCAATGCTCGGGTCCAATCTATGAACCGCATTCAAATATTGTCACTTGGGTGTACTGCGATCCCCACGCTATGGATCAAATTTTACAAAGGAGAGATTGAATGAAAATGATTGCTTTTGTCCTTGAAATTACACCACAACAAAGGAGTTTTTTGGCCAGTGGCGTTGCGTGTGGGTATCCTTGAGTCCCAGGTGTGCCAGTAAGCTCGTGTAGAGTGAAAAACATTCCAATTGAATATCGTTGCACCGGTTCTTTAAAAGCTGATCAGGGAGGACTAAACATAGAGAAACCTGAAGACAAGATCTTTGATGAGCCTGCCATAGGCAGCCACTAGGTTTATTCTCAACCACTTGACAGTGAAGTCAAGTGGGTAATGATGTATCCGGAGACTCCACTAATGATACAGACAGATCCGTGTAATCTGCCAAGGCGGCCGCCGCTGGATCTACATTGAGCTTCAAGGCCCAGGCTTGACGTCAATGAATTGATTTGTCTAATCTGTTCAACTGCATTCCAGTCTGAAGCATAGGGATCGGCGTCAATTAGCTGGAGGAGGCCCGTAATGACCTGCATGGCTTTTTGATTAAGACTTTCCAATTGGGGCCATTCGGCCTCGGTGAGGTGCTAAAACTGGGCCTGGTAAGCACGGCGAGGTTTAAATATTGAGCAAACCAACATCCAGGCAATGCGGCAACGGGCCCAGGGTGTCGAACCGGAACCGAACCGAACCAAAAACCGGAATTGAACCGGTATTTTTTCCGGAACCGAACCCGAACCCGAACCGTTATATTGTTATCGCTATGAACCCAAACCGGAACTGAACCGGAAAAAAAATAACGGTTACCGGCTCATGTCAAAACGGTTCGGCCAAGCGCTGTTGACAATGAATGTGCTATCAATGCCATTTGTTTTTTAAGTGCCGTCAACTGACACACACCTCGCTTACATATTTTTCTTCTCCACTCAGTCTTAGGAATATAAACGCTGCATCCATGAATCTTGACAAACGCTGCATCCTTGAATCTTGACATAGGAACCAGTATTGCGCTGGTCGCGGCTTGCACGGAAAAAAGAAAAATGAAAGGCTGTGCAAAAAAAAAAAAAAAAAATCTGACGGGATTTCATTTTTCTACAATCTCGTTAATCCTAAATGCTGCTGTGTGCTCATTTCATAACACGTTTCTAGAACGCGCGAGTTCTTGAAGCTTGCTTCCATCGGAATGAGAAAAGAAAAGGCTGTGGAGTTTGATAATAATGCATCCGGTTTCGTATAGGCACTTAGACGCTAACATATTTGTGAGACAGCGAACTCTTCTATTTTAATATTTATCCTATTACGTCCTTCTGGCGTTGCGTTCGGTGAAGTGATTTTCATATTCCGTATCTTGTTTAATGAAAACTTCTTTAAGGGTCTAATTCGAGTTACCGAAGGCTAGTTCAAATAAAGAAAGCTGTATTTTCTCCCCACTGTTCCTTCCATTGCTTACACGCCGAGGTGGCGGGATAGTTAGCGAGTTCTACTTGTAAGTGGGTTTGTAAGGAGGCCGCGGATTTTACAGCTACTGCGTCGGATCCAATTAGATGAAGTCCGAATACGTAAACGTTGGTGAGGTAACCTTTGAGTGCACATAAAGAAACCATTCCTGGTAGAAATCCCTGAGCCTTACACTACGATGTATCCCGTTTCGTATGTGCTGATTTCAGATGTTTTATTTGTAATTTATTTTGATGCTGCAATTTGTCATTTATAATTTCCGAACCGGTTCGCGAACCGGTTCAGCACCCCGAACCGGTTCGCGGATCGAATTAATCGAACCGGAACAAAATAAATTTACCTGAACCTAAACCGTAACCGAACCCGTATTTTTTTTTGGTTCGACACACTGAACGGGCCTCCCGCAGACCGTCAAGAGATACGGCAAAACGGGTGCAGCATGCTGGAAGCTGACTTGCGGGTGGTGCGGAGCCAGGGCAACGCTGAGCCAGAGGTAGTCAAATCCACATCGGGCACGCGGAGTGTACGCACCTCCGTCAGGACTCAACCGGCAAGGGTAAGTCCGAGAAAATTCTGGTGGAGCTTGCAGCTGCCCCAACTGTTAGCAATGGACATGCAGACAGTCCTTTTGGCCGGGAAGATGAGCCCCATCGAATTGCACCAGGTTATGTGGCACCCAGTGCCACCTGCAGGCCCCGTGTTTGACGTTCCAGGGAGGAGTGAGTGGTCCACACTTATCGCACCATCCGCATACATCAAAAAGTGGGCATTTGGGATATCCGAGAGATCTCAAGTCAATGGTAGGAGTGCTATATTAAAAAGCAGAGGGGCAAGGACAGAATTTTGCGGCACCTCCCGCTCCAGTTTAAAGCGTCCACCATTGGCCCCGCCTAGGCGCACCGAAACGGAGCGACGTGGAAGAAAACAGCAGATGAAGGAGCACACCTTGTCAGGTAGCTGAAGCCACTGAAGAATAGAAAAGGTAGCCGCGTGGCTCACATTATCATATGCCCAGTGTACATCCATAGCATGTGCACACGGTGGGAGCGGCCGCCGATGAGCACCGCAGATGAAAGACGGTCCAAGCTGTCCTCAGTACCCATGTGAGGCCGGAATCCAATCTGTGCTGGGTGGTATTATCCCCTCGAACCACCAACTGAGGCGCGTGGCCACCATACGTTAAAGTATCTTGCATATAGAATCGAGGTTAAAGGGCCGAAAATTTGCAAGAAGGCAAGAGGGTTTGCCAGGCCCCGCAATGGCCACTATCTCTGTGCGTTTCCAAAAGACAGCCACATTCCCAGAGATTCAGACTGCATCGAGAGTGTCTAGAAGCCGTTGAGCCAGGCTGTCCATATGTTATTACAGGCCTCAAAGGAGATACCGCCCGGGCCTTCGGGAGCAGTTTGTGCTGATGCCTGGTCAATCGCAGCGAGTAGTTCAGCCACAGTGAGGGGCTCCTGGACGCCATCAAAGTCGGAGTCATCTAGAATTCCTCCCACATGAGAGGGAATGGTGGAAGTGCGAGTGGGAAGGGGCGCAGTCAGATTTGAAAATAAAATGACCCATGGTGTAGGCTCTGTGCATCGATGCTTCGAATCAGCTCGTAGCACCACCTGAAGGGTACAAAGAAATTTTTCAGTATGTTTCCGGGTTCGAGAGAGCCTTCCCGTCTCCAAAAATAAGTGTGGTGTTCGTGGTACCAAAGTTATAAAAAGGCCCCAGGAACAAATTTTTAATATAGGATTACGGGAAAAACTGCTGGTAAGGTATGTCAAATTCTGAAAGGAAGGAAGCTTTGAGGCATACAATATCAGCGATTTCCTGGCGTGTCATATCAGGCGTACAGGTCCATTCAAGATAGAATTACATCTGAAGTTGCGTGTTCTAGTATACACCACCTGATCAGTGTGACGTCGTCGATTTCTCCGCCTTTATCGGTGAACAGTCGCTTCGCCTGCATGCCGAACTTGGCACTGACAGCTTGCAGAAGCTTCTCCAGCGACTCTGGTACCGGGAAAATCTGGGGGAAATTGAGAGAACTAGGAATGATCAAGTCGTGTATGTTTGAAAGTATAAGTCATCCCAACTCTTGAAATAGCCGCAGGAAGAACAACGGGTACAAAAAGAACAGTTTTTTTGTTTGTTTTTTCTACTAAAGGATTGAATATTGTGACTGGAGAGCAAGAATGCACGGTTCAATTCCGCTTTTCGTTCGAATTAGATGACACGAAACTACGAACAATTAGATAATTTATTTCTGTTAGCCGTAAAATATGCCTCTGAGAGAAATTAGAGTACACAGAGCTTACACTGAACGAGGCTTTTGTTCTGTGCGAAACCCCTCTGAGGAGCGACGGAATAAATTGCAGACGATATCTTCGCCGCTGATCACCACAAACGCGTCTTACCTTGCCGTCTCTTGTCGCTCCATTTCTGTATATCAAAACTCTCAGGTTGCTGTCGAAATTTGGCCTGCCAGACATTTATGATCCTGGCCGCAGCTCGATCACGACAAATAAAATCTCGGAGCACAGATGATTGAACGCGCAGATCTTTTGATGCGCCTTATACGGTCGGCAACGGACATCATCAAACCAAAACAGTCAAACAGTTTCTCTGCACATATTCCGTAGAGAGGTAGAGAGGGTAGAGAGTAGAGAGTCACAACTGCGCCCAGTACCACCCGATACTCCCAAATCAAAATAATGTTGTCTTTAATACTGGTTAAAATTACACTTTAAAAAGTATATTTTTGCTTAAACTTGTTTTTACGACATCTGAAAATGCGCGGTTTTTACAGTTTTATGGACCAAGTAAGATTATTTGTCTTCATGGGCAAACTACTGAGAACATAGAGAGATGAAACATCGCGCGAGTTATCGACGTAAACAATCATGGCGGCCCGTGTATCGAGTCATGCTGTTCATCTCCCGGATAAAAAGGTAAGAAAGTAGACGGCCTTCACATAAAACTAATTTTCACGGTAGGAACGCATAAAAGAAATATTTTCCCTCGTCTCACAATTAAAACACAGCGGCCGCATTAGTCGTGGACGCGACGTTGCGCATATGTGCAGCTGTCTTGTGGATCACTCAAATGTTTTCGCTTTTGCTCTCGACTGCCACGATCTAACGAAACTGTTTTTCTTTCTGTTCCTCTCCCCTCAGGAGTCTACAGTCCTCGAGTTTACGGATACGACCGAGTCGGGTACGTAAATTGGAGGCTGCCGAAGACCGTGTTGGCGAATGTCGCAAGCTTCGCGAATTTCTCTGGCCGACCGGTTGAGATTAACGAACATGAAGGCACTCTAGTCGAGATGTTTGGCTCGTATTTTGGTGTCACTAAACACCTGCCGTAGTGCAGACAGCTTCCATTATGCTGCATGCGGAGTTGGTGAAGCTTGTCAAATTCCAAAAATTCCCTATTGGGGATATGTCTTCATAGACAGTGTTTCTCCGCTACGAAAACTCCGCTACTGCGCATGCGTGCCGATAGTCTTGTCTGCAGAGTTCCGGATGTCGGCGAGTTGCGGAGAGTGGTCGAGAGCACTCTCCCTCTCTACGGTGTGCACCCTTGGGACATTTAACTGCATTACGACAGATGTGGCTGTTCCCCTATTGATTTCATATTTCCCATAGCAAATTCGCATTTATTCCTAAATTTGTAAAGTTTCTGTGTCGGTGTGGCATGGAATGATTTGGGGAGGACATGGCCTGCCTCGGTCTCTTGTTCAGTTTTTTTTTTTTCCCCTCTTTATATATTTATATTTTTTGAGTATAAAGCAACATTCAGTAGTTGGCGCTGTGCCTCTATGTTCCTTCTACTTGTACCAGTGTTCATCTGGGCCGCTTTGTTGTCCTCGTAACATGCATGTATTCACTTGTCCACCTACAAACATTATTGAAACAACCTCATGAAAGGTGTGGTTCTGTCGTTCTTGTCCTACATCTTTTTCTTTGCTGGGATCTTTGACTTGCATCACGCAGTAGCGATACACAACTGCACACCAATACGATGCTCATCCATCCAGATTGAAATGGGCAGAGGGGAGGGATTGGGCCTAGGATCCTTGGATTTTGCAGCGCGAGCTCTCATTCCACGTGTTCCAAACTGCAGTGTGCTAACACTCGGCCACTGATCCTTACACAGCTGAGAGAAGATGAAATGGTGGATGTATCTATAGATGCCCTCCCGAGATGGCATCGGAGTGTATCCAGCGACATTCATTATTGATTGCGATTGCAGATATAATGAATGCGGAAAGAATAAAGATACTCAAACAAATGAACAACATAGAGTTTGCCATGTTTCTGTACATGTTCTATCATCGCTGGACTAATCATGTGTACGTAAGGCCCAGTGACTTGTGCTTTTGACGCTGTTTGACTGGTCCTCTCAGCTCACTTTACTTTAACTCCAACTGCGTCCTGGCTTAAAGTGAAACGAGTTAGAACACTGGATTCAGTGCCACTTACTTGATGCTGCGTAGTGCACCGCTACCCCAACTAGCTAACACAGCGATTCCTTGCAGGAGGCTATGATGCCGGCAAGCACTACCTACCACCCATGGGAGAACAGAAGGCCCATGAGCCCGACTTCCTGCAGAGCGCCCCATCAATGGTAATTTTAGAAGCGTTATAAACCGAGAAATTTTAGCTTTCTTTTTTATGGCAAAGTGTAGAGACTTGAGAGTGTGTCAATCAAAACCCAGAGCTTCTTGAGATTGGAACCGCCTTCGCCCTTCTGTCTCCACAGTCCAGGCCGATCATCTGTTAAGAGCTGCGCTCGTTAATCTCCGTCAATCAGTGCCATAATCAAATTTAGTTTTTTGCACAATAGTGGTGGTTTGTGTAATGATTTTTTTTCTACAACCCACTGCCCTCTGTAATGCCATCGGCACTGAGGGTATTGAAATAAATAAAATATATAAATACTGCCTAGTCGGACGTGTTTGATACAAAACATGTGACGGCTTGAAGCTGAGCTACTAGTTGGTTCATGCTTGTTAAAGTGCCAGCTGAACATTTTTTGTTCGTCTGTGTGTGTGTGTGTCCTTAAAGGCCGATGTACAACCTCTTCTATCTGCTGGGAAGATAATCCTCTTAGCGCTCCCCTCTCCTAAGCTGCGAGGGGGAGCCAGGTTGGGGCAAGGTAAAAAGTGGAAAGGATATAGTAAAGGAGGAGGCGGGCAAAAGTGAAAAGCGCGGAGGGCACGTCGGCCTTTAAAACGTTCAGCTGGCACTTGAACAAGAATGATAGGAAACACTTCGCTGAAAATGCATCACGATCGTACAATTTCAGCTAGGGGGACCGTGGCAAGGAATTTGGTTTACGAAAACCTGACAATCTGTCTCTTCCTCATGGGATTATGTCATAGAGATGTCATCGCAGATTTTCAGTTTTCCTTTTTGATTCTCATTTCTTTTTTCTATTGGGCTGCATGTCTTCTGTTCTTTTAGCCTGACTAAGGAGGTTATTCATGACTGGGAGATAATTCTCTTTGTATTTGCTTCGATAACTTGTGCTTCGTGCGTCACATACATAATCGTACATTCCAGGAAACAAATAAAGCTGAGGAGGAAAATAGACTAGAATCCCGCAAGGGCCATTTTCTGAATACCAGTTCACTGAAAGAAAGGCTGATTCTTGGTCTATACTTTATGAACATGAATTGTATATCCTGAAACCTAGTTAGCCCAAGAAAATGTTTTTTCGTCTCTTTCACGTGGGCCACAATGTGGCTCGTCCACTAACGGGAAGCACTTGAAGATGCCAGATGCCCTTTGTAGGTTGGCACATCGCCCACCAAAGCTTTTCTCAGACTTTATAGAATAAGAAGTGCTATGGGAGCCTCTATCCGTTATCACAATTGTTCTGAAATGGGGGTTTGGGAAGCCCTGTCTCATCAGAGCTTTCCGACAATAAAAGTTATTTTTTTTTTTTTTTTTCAAATTCAGAAGAAACTTTTAAATTTTCGGGTGAGTTTTTTCGTGTGTAGGTCAATGAGCGAAGTCTATTTCACTCTAGCCGTTAGTTATATTCATTTATTATATCATTATTATAATTATCCTGTACCTTCCCCTTCCCCTCACCAGGAACATGGTCCTCGATCCATCATCTCCGCTGATTCACAAAGGGTCCGCGAGACATCAATGGTTGAGAACCACTGCGTTATCATATAGCAAATGAAGCCGTCGGTCTAATTTGAGCTAAACAAAGTTAAATAAAAAAGAGTAGCTGGTGTAGTGTTTGACGATGACATATTATTGAACTTCACCGCAGTAACAATCGTTTGAAGTACCTTCCGTTACTGGCGTCGCCTCCGAAGGGAACTGTCAAACATCCAGCGTTGCCCACACCAGCTTTGTTGTTGAATTTTCTAATGACTACTGTAATTAGTAGCACTTTTTGGTATGTCCTAGATCTACTGCCATACCGACACTCAAACTGGAGTGAATAGATTAGTGAGTACCGTAAAATCCCCTAAGGACGCCCACCCAAAATGAAGAGGTAAATGGTGAAGAACATGGGGTGGGCTACCTCTGAGGATGCGACAACAAAACTTTGTAAAAGAGCAATTAAACACTGGGCCGTCCACTACAAACCACATGAAACAGGAACTGATACCTCTGTTCGCATACACAGCAAATTTGCGTTTCGCAATGCGATGAACACGCAGGAATTCGCTACAAACTCCCACGTCACGGTAAAAGATATCACGGATGGCGAACAGAGCTGATTTGCTTTACACAGTACGAAGGACACGCGAAAACCCGTTGCAAACTCGCATGTCACGGAATTGAACATTGCAGATCGCGGACGCAGTTCACTCGTTTCACGGTGCAATAAACATGCGGTATCAACTCAGGTGTCACGAGAAACAATATCGCGCTCGCAGATCGGAAACAAAAACGTGCGAACCCATTACACACTTCCTTGTCACACATCCGGTACCATAGATCGCGCGGCTGATATGATTCCTGTCGGGCATCGCATGATGCCCGACAAAAAACTGGGGATAGGCGAAGTTTCAGAATTTTTATTGTTATAGATATTTAGCCAAAGAAACGTGATGAGCGATCTCTCGGGGGTGGGTGCCCTTACAGGATTTTACGGAATAATAAATTAGTGATGCTTTGTGACTTTGCAGCTGTTGTGGCAAGCTGGCAAGCAGCAGGCCCAGAAGGCATTCAACCTCTATGGGAACATCGACCTGCTCAGACCATACTTCCACGTTGAACCGCAGGAAGTGCGAGACAGGTATAAATGTCGGCTGTTGAGCTCCTCTCAGTTTGCTTTATGTTCCCTGTTTAAAAAATCTTGAAACATTTATGTGAAACAGACGATTGGTACTAGTATTTTAGTCATAGCTAATCTGGACATTGACGATGCCCACATTAGCTACGACTAATATGCTGAAATGTCAATGGCATGTGGCCTGCATGTCTTTTATTGACAATGCCACATTGTCAATAAAAGACACGTAGGCCATGTGCCTCTGACAGTTGTTGCTGCTGTCAGCTAGATGACAAGTGCAACCACCGAATAGAGCGGTGCTTGCTGTCAGATGTACGTGCTCACTCGCAACAGCAATGAAATGCATGCAGGTTGCATGTCTCTCTTCACTGTTGCCACCATTGTCAGCTGGTTAATGCAGTTGTGCTTGCAACTAAATCCATGGGCTCATTTGCACATAACCCAGGCAGGCTGTGCGTCGATGCAAGCGGAATGCATGTAACCACTAAGAAACCTGCATCATGCAAAAAAACAATTGGTACTCTATTAGTCATTGTAGTGAGCTACATAGCAGTTTGAAGAATTAAGTCCTTGACAAGTTTTGTGTAACTAAGTTTTCAGTTAGTAAAGATAAAGGGTGGGTTCTAATTAGAAACTTAATGAGCACCTTCAAAAACTACTAAATCAGTAATTAACCCTTTGAGTGCCAAGCTTTTTTTCTATGTGTCAAACACCGATTTCGATCTCATGCAAACGAATTGTCCCAAATCGCAGAAAAATGGGCGCGTCGTGATCTTGAATCCCATTTTTAATAGGAAAATTGCACGCATACCAACCTAGTCTGGATTTTTTTAAGATGCCTAAAGCCCGTAGGACTCCAAGCATTCTAATCATTTTTATGACCATGAAAAGACAATCTCAGAACCCAGTGTAGTGCCCTTTTAATGGCTCTTTGACAGGGGCACTGTCGCACAGCAATAAGGACGGTCTTGAGGGAGGAATTTCCAGTCTCTATATTTTCACCATTGCGAGCTTTGCAGCGTTTTTGAAGTTTCTGTGCTTCTCTCTCTCATCAGAATCCTGGAGTCCTTCTTTCCACGTTGGCCTTCCCACTATGCACCTCTGGTAAGGCTGTTCTTCATGGTGTGTTGGTCTTGTCTAAGACCACTAAGCAGCAGTGTTGGGTAAAGTACATCTAAAAATTACTTGAAGTCCAAATTAAATGAGAGGTTCAAACTCAAAGTAAAATACAAAGTAAATGAGAGGTTGCATACTTCAAGTGAAATACAAAGTAAATGAAAGCATACTTCATGTAAAGAGTAAGTACACTGGTCATAATGTACTTGAGGTAGAGTACTGTAAATACAATGTAAAAATTGTTGTGTATATGTTTATACAGCCGGAAGTTATTCTGCCTCAGTGGGCGTCTGGTGTCTCAGCTGTAGATGAGAAATTTAGCCAGTGCGGTACAACCGCTAGCCTGGGGTCTTTTTTGCGTGCGCCATGCAGTAGTGATACACGACCGCACGCCGTTACGATCCTCATCCAGATCGAATTGGGCAGGGGTAGGGATTGAGCCCAGGATCCCTGGGTCCTGCGGCGCGAGCTTTCGCTCCACATGCTCAGAGCTGGTATGCGCTAGCCCGCTCGGCCACCGATCCCCCCAAAATACTGTACAATGTACTTTCAAAGTAAGGTACAAGTACCTTTCAATACAATCTTTCGTAATGGGAAGAGCATGACGTCAGCCCCTTAGCTTCCGTAAGCGTTAAGCTGAAACTAGAAGCTCCACCTACAGTGCGAGCTCGCTGGCTTCCGCGCGTGCCTGCGCGTTGACAGTTGTGTTAGGAAGGGCAGAAAGCTCGCGCTGAATGTGGAGCTTTTAGTCTCAGCTGAAGGGTGAACGGAGTATAATATTTGTGACCTCTTCACTCGCAGTGTCTGAGCGAGAAGTAGCGCGAGTTCCAAATGGCTGCGGAAAAGCTGCCCCAGCACAGACGGAGAAACGTGTTGTCTGCTCGCATTTCTGGTGAAAGTAGAATGTCCCTCCCAGTACCACATTAGAGTTGACAAAGCATCGTTTTGTGATACAAAGTTTACGAGACCGAATTTGGGGAATGTACTTTGAAGTAGAGAGTTGTACTTTCCTCATAAAGTACCAGAAAAAATACTTTAAGTAAAGTGCAAGTACCGATTCAAAGAACATACTTCAAGTAAAGTGCAAGTTTTCTAAACCTACTTGAAGTAGTACTTTAACTCTTTCCTGAATGCGCCCATAGGCCATCGATCATGATCAATGGTTTCCTAGCACCATCAAGAAATCAAATTTAGTGCGTAGAATTATGTTCCACAATCTCGTGGATAGCTGAAGAACTCTAGTTTTGGTTTCAACGTAGGTTTAAGCTTTATCGCAATGGGAGGCTGTCAAAAATAGTCGGGGGAACGGTGGTTGGACTTGTCTAACATGGCTTTGCACGTGTCTAACATGGCTAACTGCTTGCTTCAGTCTTCGTAACAAAGATGGCATTATTTACATAATTCAACTACCATAAAATAACGGAGGAGCGCCCACCCAACTTTCACTGAAAACTGGGATAATCTAGACATGGGCGCTTGTCCGGTCAAATCAGGCGCTTAACGTACGATTTGCAGAATTCCCCAGTTTGGGAAATGTTCGTACTGGGTGCTTGAACAAAGTGGGCGCTTCCGCGGTATTTTACGATATATCATGGGATATTTGTTTAGACCACAAGAGCTCTGGACACACTTCAAAGGATGTTATAGGCTTTGCTTAAAGGGATGGTGAACCGAAATTTGGATTTAAAAGAAACAATGCAGGAGATGTAGGCTGGACGCTAATATCCCTACAACACTACTCGTAAGGCGATATCTCGAATGGACGGCCGTATGTTTGGAAAAAGACGTCGAGATTGAACGGGGCCGACGAGGCGCGTGACCGTCAAGATACCTAGTTTCCTCCTCTCTTTGCTTCGCCCCCTGAAGGAGGCAAGGCGGGGAAGACGCGAGGCTGTTCCTTCTCCTTCTCGGAGAAAGAAGACGTAAACATATCTGTCAAGTGCGCCTCCTTTTTTTTTTAAATACGGTCATCCCTTCGAGATATCGCTGTATGAGTGATGTTTTGGTGTTTGTAGCATCCCGTTGCACGCTTTTGCTGCCGTGTTTTTTGGAATCCGGATTTCGGTTCAGCATCCCTTTAACAGATGGTTGTCGGTAAGCATCACAATAATTTTCAAGGCTGTCGTGAGCCGGTGGGACGCTTTACGTTCCCAAAAAGGCGCACAAAATTCTAAATACGAGAGACCTGCAATCGAGGCTATGACAAAACGAAGGTAGAACACAAGGAAAGCATTCTGCTGGGCATGTGAGGTGTACTATCTGCACTTCACCAATATAAGCATTCCTTTGTTGAAAAGCACACGTGTTATGGAGGCTAATTTTCCGACGAACCGAAAATAGACAACGTCAGTTAAAGTACACTAACTCTCGGAAGTAATAGCGAGGGTGTGGGGCACATTTTCTGTACTCTGAATTTTTCTTCTTTGTCGTCTAATTTGACATAGCTGTAGAACGCCTTTTGCACGTACACTGTATTTTTAAGAAATAAAATTTGAAAATCTTTTTTTCGACATTAATCTCTGTTTTTTTTTTTTTGAGAGAACACCTAATTGGTCACATTTTGATGTTTCATATTGCTCCATACATGAGTCAGTTAGGAAAATACAAGCCTTTGGAAATTGCCACTTTTCCCGTAGTCAGGGGAGAGATAAGTGCAATATACTACTTGGGAGTACTTCTCAACACTGCAAAGCAGGCTACACTTCGGAGTAAGGACACTCCAGCCATCTCGTCGCTTAAAATCACGGTTACCAGCTTTCTTCGAAGGTCTGCAGCAGAGCAGAACAGTATCGCTCAAGCTTCCTGACGCTGTGGCTAAAGATCAGGAAGCCGGATTTTTCTAATCCTACCTATATACTGTGCAATCCACTTATAACGATAATGCGAAAACCCGAAAATGCAATTGTTATAACCGATTATCGTCGTATCTGGGATAGGAACTCTATAAACTGATCCTTATAAGTGGTATATCCTTATATCTGGTATCGTTATAAGTGGATTGCACTGTATCTGCGGTTTCACATGTTCTGCACTATAGTCAGTTACAGGTTAAGAAGGTAGCGGCAAATGCCCCTCAAAGGGAATCAGATATCCCTCCGCCACCTTTGCATCCAATAGCGTCCTACCGTTTCCGTGATGTCGCAGACAACGCGCGAGGAGGCTGTTGCCTTTCTGTACATATTTGCTTTATCTTTCGACTTTGACGTAGCATTGTGGAAGCCACGAGAGGGAGATTAGAGTTCTCCCCCACCGACGGAAACAAATACGACTTTGGGGGATTAGCTTCCCCCCGATGGATACAAAGGCTGCTTTCAGGGGCTCGGTTCCCTCTCCGATGAATACAAAGGTCGCTTTCTTAAAAAGTGGGATGGGAGACAAGTGGGAATCCATTGAAGCGGAACAAGGAGCGTTTCCAGTGAACTCTTCTTTCGACTGCGGAGAGATTTGAAACGGGCGCATCACACTTGTGGGAGGAGCTTCTCCTACCTTCTTGACTTGTAACCGACTATAGTATATGTGGTGTTCGGAACACTTCTCCGACCGGTGTGTTTACTGCGTCCAAAAAAGTAGTCCCTCGATTTCCCCCTCGCGACGTCACGTAAGCATCACGCTGTCGCCGGCCACGATCCTGACAGTGTCGCAGCGCTGGTGGTCCAATACAATGTAACCCGTCCCCCCCCCCCTTCCGGATTTGGGTACTTCGAACATGGCAGGTATGCTTCTGTGACGAAATACCACTCTGAGCGTGTCTTCATTTGTTGAACGTGTCATGTATTTAGCAAATAAAGCAATCGATGCCGGCACATTTGATTTCTTAAAATTGCCGTTCGAACGCTTGACGAATACTGATTCAATCTCCAAACACTCGATATAATGATCACCGCTCATCATAGAATACTCACCTTTGAGCACTCCGTACAAGCTTCAATATTCCAACTTCTGTCCCATAGACTTGTATTGCCTGGTGTCAAGCCACCGCGTCAAGCAATGGCTGTCGGGGGTGCCACTGATGGGCTCCCAATCTGCGTTCCAGCCTGCTACAAGAGAGATCAGTGAATAGGATGCTAAACGTACCAGTCAAAGACGAGTTCGAGGCACCATAGCGCTAATCAACCAACTGGGTGTGCCCACAAGACGAAGGGAGGGGGTTCGAAATCGAGTGTCAATAAAAGCGTAGCCTATTTAATGGCTGTGGTCTAGTCGATGCTCGTCAATTCCAACTTGCTGCATTCTATTTTTTGGTGTGTTCAAAGTATCGGCGTGGTTCCAGCAGTTTGCATGCCGACTTGAGCTTTGAGCACCCCAAACTAAGTGGTCGTTTCGGTCATTTGTCTCTATTGCCACTGCACGCTTCAAGTCGATCGGCACAAATTGATCTTTGCCCCATGATTGGCAACACAGGTTGCAAAAAATGAAAGATATGAGGCGTCTCGATCTGGTTGCAGACACAAACTGTGTCTAATCTTTTTCCTTAGGGGGGGGGCATTGATAATGTTGATCTGTGTAGTAGGCCTGCCATGGCGCATCTGAAGCAATGAAAATGGTTGAATATCGAGAATTTTTTTGCAGGTGGGTACTAACAAATAATCTAAAAGCTCTTGGTAGCTACGGCTTCTCATATCGAGTAACTTCAATCCAGTTCTCTCGCTATCGAGCCTTTCTGGAGGAGGTATTATTTTTTCTGCCAGATGAGGCTTTGCATGCTCTGCTCCAGGTATAGTAGTATACCTTTCGTTCCCGGGGTACCCTCAACTATATATAGATTCAGACCTAAGAATCCTCTACCCATCTTGCTGGTCGCGCAACAAAGCAGTTAAGAGCATCAAACCCACTGGGAAGAAAAGTGGGAGTGTCTGGCTTAGGGTCACATATTAGCACATGTCCCAGCAAAAATTGGTCAAAGTAGAGACCCAGATTCTATTTTAGCGGTGACTACGGAGTTGAACTTTGTCGCACCGCTTTGCAGCTGATTCCAGGTGAGCTGTACGGACCACTGATGCTGGTCTTCACCATGATCACCCTGCTGCTCTTCGGGATGAAGTCCTCGGGCCACACAGTGGTGAGCACTTCACGAAATTCGCAGAATCATCGTTCACGGTTATGTTTCTTGAAACAAAACGCTGCTAGTAATACAGCAGGGAGACGGGAAAGAGCGGGGTCAGAGCCGGGGCACGCAACCGCAAGAGACGCCAGAGACGCAAGCTCCGTGTTCCACCGTCACCGGTAGATTAATGCACACAAAAAAATGTACAATTAAAACAAACTTCTATTTTTGTTTTCACTGCTAGGACAATTTTAAATATAAATTTGTACATATTTTTTTTTTGTGAGGACAACAGTATCAGTGATGGAAGTGCTGCGCCAATTGCGCCAAATTGCGCCAAGGACGAAATCCTGCTACATGTAGCGCCAAATTGTCATTTTACCGAAGAATTGCACCATGCCTGCGCCGAGATGAGATGTAGCAATCAAAAAATAAAAATTGAAGTCTTATCAGAGCGCGTGGCAGTATCGCGGTATTTTCCGCGCCGCAACTGTTACACAAACCAAAACTGCGAAAACGCATCATCATCATCATTGAAAGGAACAACGTTAGCAACATCTGAGACCAAAGCCACAGAGGCTAAGCGAAGAACCATCCCATTGAGCAGCCTATTAAAAAAAAAATAAAAAGGCCGAGCTTGTGGATGTTTTCAATGTTGGCCCGCCCTGTTCTGGTGCGCTATCTATCAGCGAAGTCAAAGCTAGCGCGAGCCCAATGCTCTGTGCATTCCTGACTCGCGCGTGGGCTCGTGCAGTGTGGGCACCGTTACGGGCTCCATGCGCGCGCTTGTAGCTTTGGCTGCTCTTGCACCGAAGCTGAAACGAAGTATATTTTGCACGAGACTCTGGGTGTAGTGCTGGTAAAGCCTCACCGTCCTTTTCGGAGCACAAAGCACTGCGCGACTCGCGCGACTGCGGCGTCTGCTCCGCGGGTGTCGCTTCTCTGCAGCGCGTCGGTGCATGCCAAGGGGCGCACTCGACGGGTTAACTCGCTGTGGTCCAATCGTGACTTCGCCAGCACATCGAAAATGAATCGGAATTTTTGAAGCGAATATCAGATACCGCAATATTTGAAGCTGCTGCCCGAAAGACAACTCTTATCTGAACTAAATCATTCCACAACAGTGAGGGTCGTTATATGCTGCTGCAGATACCTTAAAAGAAGTGGAAGCTGATAAAACTTAGTATCCTGTACCATCAGAACTCAGTGTGACATATTGAATTGTATTTTTTTATCTGACGAGCGGATAAACTTTATTTTAAAAAATGATTTTTTTGCGTGTTTACTTTGTTGAATTTTATATATCCTGTCTTAAAAAGGCGACAGGCGCTGTGTTCGAATAATAGAGATGGGCTTTATATAGCAATGCAGCATTATTTCATTTTCAAGTAATATGCCAACATATGCCGGACCCTGCTCCAAAAGGGCCACTACCTGCTCCAAAACAACATTTTGCCTGCTACAAGGCCTGCTCCAAAAGGTCAAATGGCACTTCCATCACTGCAGTATGATAGAGCATCTTTTTATAACGTTGCACACTTTCCCAATAAGATGGCAAAAAAACTTACTTGTCTCTTAACGTCTAGGTGTCCATTGTCGCCGCAATCGAGTTTAAAATAGAGAGATGTCTCTGGTTTGTTTGCCTATGCATATTTGCCTCAAGCATCTATCACATTGTACTGTATTTAGTCGGACCTAATATTAGGTACTTCTTGAAGAACATAGCCTGTACGTCTGCTTTTCATTGCAGCAAGCACAAAATCAATGGTGGCAGTTTGCAAAGGTAGATAAATTCTCCCCCCGCCGCAGTGCTCCGTATTGAGTATTTTAGTCTAATTTTACATTTCGGCTTGCTTTATGCAGATCACGTGCTCAGCTTCAAACATATTCTCCTTCTTCTCGTTTGGTCTGCTTCTGTAAACTGTAGTGATTGGCCTTCAGGAAGGTTCTTATATGAGTCAAACGTCTCATATGAGAATAGCAGTTGGCTTTCAGCAGTCCCTGCCTGAGCTATCTTCAGCAAAGGGTCTTATAAGGTATACTAGAAAAATGTTGCCAGGTTAGCCAACCTTTCCGTGTGAGGTCAATAATTGGCTCTCTCATGCGCTGCGTGGAAGAGAAGCAAATCCCGAGGAACCTCTTGTTTATGGACAGTGCAAGCTATATGTGCTTTGGCGTGTGTTCATTGGCCCATTTGAACGGCGAGCAGCCTGTTTGGTCATGCAGAGTGATTGGTTTTGCAATGCAGAAGGAAGGCACCCTGATGGGCACGGCGTTTGGCGTCAGCTTCGGCTACTGGCTTGGCGGATCGGCCCTGGTTCGAGCCGCCGGCTACGTGAGCAGCACGCGACTCTCCTTCCTCCAAGTGCTTTCTCTCATGGTAAGGATTGTGATTATCATTCATTTCATCATACTTTTAAGAATTTAATTTTCGCTAATTTTGCAAATCGCCTGCGATTTGTGAAAAGTATGTCCCACGAACAATTAGCCTTGCAAAAAATTCCGGCACGAAGTCAATACCTAAAAGCTGATGGTGTGCTTCCTTGAGCAGCAATCTAACAATGGGAAAACATGCGTACAAAGGTTCTCACACGATCATTACATACATTCTTAACGTACTTATCTAAAGTAGTATTTGAAAAAATAATAGTACAATAAGCCGGAATTCTCGGTCACCTCAAAAGTGTGGTAAGCCGGGCCAGTTTGTATGAAGACATGGTAAACAGCACGGCACACAAAAAGACAAGGAAAGAGAAAAGGAACGTGCACGACACTCAAGCGCTGACTCGCAACTCAATTTATGTGCAAAAGGAAGAAGAGAATGCGCTGAAAATCACGCAGTGCCAGAGCGTCTCACACATGACGCAACACCATCAAACTGTCATGTCTTTGCGTCATAGTCCTATCTAGAAACAAGGTTTCTGTTTGAAGCAGTGTCATCGACGGTTGGTTAATTCAGCGGTCCCCCAGCTGTTAATACAATGTACTTCCAAAATTTTGCGAGTAGCCTTGTCTGGGTAATGTCCCAATATTGTTGTAACGTTAAAGGGACCATGAAATGACCTTTTTACTTTTTCCAGATAACTTTTACATTAAACCGTCAATGTTCACTGAATGCCGAACAGGCATCCGTTTTCGTCTCGGTTTATTAACTTCTACACAAAAAATTATTGAAATATCGACTTTTTCATTCTCTCCAACTGACCGCAAAAGAAGCCGTGACGTAGGCCGTTTCCGGAACCGGAAGTTTTCTCGGCAGTAGGAGAATGGGAGTGTTAGCGGCAACGAGTTGGGGTGCGCCGGTAGGTTTTACTGCGCTGATGTCACCGACGTATTTCCTGAATCGGCACCTCTCATCGCCGCATCGCAGCTGAGCGAAATTCAATGAGATATGTTGCGCTACAGCGACAGCATGGGACTAGTCCCATACGCCGGTATGCCTGTTGGGAAGTGCAGCGAGTCTTCCGGTGAAGACTCCAGAAGTCAACCACCCCGTCATTGTTCGCAGAAGGGCCGGCCCGTGTCAGTCGTTTGCAAAGCGACGTAGATGGCGTTTTTCGCGGCCTCGGAGATGCAGGAGCGAGCCGACGTTAAAAAAGATACGTTTGAACTACGAGTGTCAGCAAGAGCCACGTAAATACCTGTTTACACTCGGAGCGGACGCGCGCACTTGATGGAAGTCTTGTATTCGCGCTGTTTGTGAGCGCTTCGGGACCGTTCTTTTACGATTGCAACTCGATACTGACGCGACACTCGGCAAAGAAAGGTTGGACCGGGGTTGTACGTATACCTCCCACGAACTGTTATAGCTCGACAGTGACGTGCAGTCTGTCAGAATAAAAATGGCATACCAATAACAAAGTGTACATACCGTGTTACGAAGGTAATCCATACGGCGTTTATTTCAGCTCTATATCTCACAAAACAAGAAGATAGAATCGACGAGAGTCCCTTTTCGACGAGTGTTCGTCAACACTGCCTCGGAAAACAAGGGGAAGAGATTGACCTCACCTCTTAATCTAGAATTGAGGTCAGTGATCAAACTATAATACGGGAAGGGTCCACAAGGGTCGCGCGGGCATATTCCATTTAGCACGCCAGCCGATCGTAGGCAGACGGTCTTGCGACGAAGCAACGCAGCGCCGAGTCGGAATGCCTGCTAGGCCTATACGCTTCGTCGGAGTCGGTGGATCCAGCGTTCTTGTTCGTCGTGGTCTGTTTTAAGTACTGTTTTCTTGCTGCTTGAAGTCGGCACGCGCGGGAAGAACACGTAGAAAAATAAACGTTCCGTCAGTCAGAGTTTTGAGAGGAAGGAAAACAAAGAAAATAAACGTTCGTCGCTGGCCGCCACCCAAGTAACTGTCGGCCCTGCCCTACTGCGCACGCGCAGTAGTTGCTTCGTTTACCACACGATAGATGGCGCCTGGCTCTCAGCATTATCAAATTTGGCAATTTTCGCCACACATCTCTAGTTATGCTACAAAATGTGGATCTGAATATTATTTAACAAAACTTTTAGGAAACATTCACCGGCTATTTATTGTTTACGATCGCGGTGCTGGTGAGGTAGGCTCTTACCCAATAGGCGACCTGGATTTGGCTGACGTGCTCCATTTCCGCGGATGCATCGTAGTGAACAGGCGAAGGAAGGAAGGCGCAAAAGAGTCCAGTTTTCTTTTAAAAGTTCTATAGCAAATAATTTTTTTTTGGCTCCCTATTTTTGTGTTTTTGTGTTTCTTTTCACACCTTTTACGACGTGCCGTGGATGAAACTCGATTTTAAAATCATTTCATGGTCTGGAGAACACGAGCAGGTATTGCAATGTTAGGGGAGATGACCGCCTCGAGAAGGCAGCCATTCAAGCATTGGCCGGTTTGGCCCACATAGCTTCTACCTCATGTTAGTGGGGTTCTGTACGCAATGCCAGTTGAACACGACACATAGGGGTGGCTGCGGCGTTTCTGGCACTTGGCTTTTTTAAGGTTTTCAGCTATCGAGCGAACCTTGGAGCACATTTGCGCCATCCTTTTGGGAGCTGAAAACACCACCAGCACGTCATACCTTTAGGCTGCTCTTTTTAAATTATGCAATGTTTTGTGCACATATGGAGCAACTGCAATTCGTTTTTGGTGGTCTCTAGGTTTGCTTTGCTGACTCCCTTTGGTCTTGCGTATCAAGGCCCCGCCAGCTTGTTTAAAACCAATGACGGGAAGCCCAAGAAACATAGTCTCTCAACACTTAAAAACCATCTTGTATGCTGTGAAGGCAGGACTTCGTAAGTGCAGGCCCAAGTATGGAAATCTGGCAAAGGGGTATAGTGTTGCATGGTAAACATGTATACAGTCGAACCCGGATATATCGAATTCAAAGGGGATCGTAAAATGGTTCGATATATCGATAATTTGATATACAAAAATATGTTAACTTAAGCTCCAGTTGAAATTTCCGCGCGCCTCTGCTAATACTGAAGGCCGCGACAAACGGAACCTTACCAAAGAGAGCCACTAAGAGCTGCTAAATACGGTAGAGCTTAGTTGGTGAAGATCACAAACACCGCCGCGTTTACGCGACAGTGTTTGCGATCGCGCGCGCAACCTCGGCACAGCACCAACGACAAAACACAAATTAAAAAAAAAAAGAACGGAAAAAGCGAGCCGCATAAAAACGAACAAAAATCGCTCGATCCATAGAATAAAGTTAAGCAAGCGACAAAAAAGAAACATCACTAAATTCAGGCAGCAAGAAAAAGAAAACCCAAAAGAAAAAAAAAAACGTGCAAAGCAAGAACGGCAAAAGAAAAAGGGAAACAAAGATAAGGGTTCAAAGTGCGATTGCTCAACCGTTGTCGACACACTCGACTTGACAGACTTTTTTTTTTCCTCATTTTATTATGGGGCTAAGGAGCACACTCTGCCCTCTCTACGCGCGCGTGCGCCCTTGCATTTGCTTTTGCCATCCTCCACTTTTTTTTTAACTGCTTTTTTGTTGAGTATCCCTGTGCGCTCCTATAAGTTCCCTTATGCGCGTATGCTGGCTTGGCGGTCTGTCAGCACGGCAACGCGAGCTATGTTGCTCTGCGGGAGCAATCTGACCGCGGGAGAAGCGAAGGGCCGCCGTGCTTCGTTCGCTATATCGAGTGTCCCCGCCATGGGAGTCCATGGGAGTTCGATACAAAAAGACAACGCTCCTATACTATTACATGTGATTTTCAAGGGGATGTTTGGACTGTTCGATATAAGCGATAATTCGAAATACCCGGGTGTGATATAACCGGGTTCGACTGTATATACAAAAAATAAATAAACTTTAGGTAGAGCAAAAATTAACATGGAAATGAACTTTACGAAGAAGCTGGTCTGAGTCAATGGCGCTATTTGCAACTTTATGTAGAAAAACTACAAACCTCCCTTCTCTTAAACAAATGTGCAAGGGAATAGTTTTCTAACAGAGTGGTTTCGTTGAAATGGAACACGTGTGTTGGGGTGGGTATTCTGATTTGCCTCAAAAAATGTAAATTATACCTAGCCCCATTTCTACAATGAACAAAACCACTTTTTGAAATTTTTAGGAAGATGATATTTCTCCATAAAAATTTTGAAGCGGAGCAACTCGAAATGCTATGTTTATGCTGCTTGATTTTTGTTCTCAGTTCTGTTGGTTGTTAAAAATAGGTCAAAATGAAAATACTCACTGTAAATTTTCTTATAAATGTGTGACACTTGGCCTATTTTGTATTTTAAGCTAAACTGCTTTGGCATATTTTATGCCAGAAGTAAAAAATGCCAAACATTGCATCTTTGTCGTTTTGCGAACATATTTGGAGCCTCGTATCTTAGGATTCATTATACATTCTACTTATTAAATACTATATGCCAGCAGTACCACTGGTATTGCTGGTACCTTATTAGTTTATTTTCATGAAATAACTTGTCTAAAATCTTTAATCAACAATTAAGTTTAGTCATAATTTGAGCCCATATTATCAAAATCGGTTATTTTTTTAATTTCTTTCTTGTTTTTTTTTTTATATTGCTCCCAATGATGTTAACTTCCTGTGCACATAATCAGAGTTCCCCCCTTTTTTGTTGTATTTGCTGTAGAAGTGCTTGAACACACATACTACATGCATCCGAATCGGCAAAGGGTAGTTTCTCAATAAGGTGAGCTGGCGGGCTAGTTGGTCGTTCATCATTAGTAAAATAGCGCAAAACAACAAGGAAGAAAGGGCGAGATAGACAGGAAGGGCGCTAACTGACAACTGACGTTTAATACAATCTATAAAGGAGGAGAAGAAAGAAGCAAGAAGTTACTGATGCTGTTGCTTAAAAGAAAGAAACGTACACCCTCAAAGTTGTTATACGTAAAAATATAAAATGTATG